CGCGACTGAGGCCCCGGTAGGCCAGGGTTGCTCAATGATACTTTGATAATTTGCTTTACTTTCTGGGCACTCACTAAGTGTTCGTGGGACTGCAGAATTTTTGGTTGATGCTTCTTTAAGCTGGTGTGACCTAGGCAGGCAGCTCCTCTGGTGGGTCTGCGGGAGGCAGTTCCTCTAGCGCCTCTTCAGCAGGCAGCTCCTCTGGCGTGTCCACAGATGGCAGCTCCTCCAGAATTTCTTTTCATGGCAGCTTCTCCAGTGTGCCCTCAGATGGCAGCTTCTCCAGTGTGCCCTCAGATGGCAGCTCCTCCAGGGTGTTCTAAGTAGGCAGTTCCTTCAGGGTGTTCTAAGCAGGCAGGTCCTCCAGGGTATCCTTGCACGGCAGCTTCTCCGGTGTGTCTGGCAGGCAGCGCCTCCGGCGTGTTCTTGGATGGCAGCTCCTTCAGCGTGTCCTCGGCATGCAGCTCCTCCTGCATGTCTCCGGACGGCAGCTCCTCTGCCGTGTCCTCGGCAGACAGCTTCTCCAGCGTGTCCTTGGATGGCAGCTCCTCCAGGGTATACTTACATGACATCTCCTCCGATGGTCCAATGTCCACCAGATTACCATATGCCCATTTGGATTCTATGTTCAGATCTGAAGAGGAAGGGGGGGAGTGGTGAACACGGGGCAGGTGAGGACAGATGAACGGAAGCAAATGAAGGATCAGATGGTCTATGTGAAGTCTGGTTGGCATAAGGGAAAAGGCGGAGGATGTAGGAAGGGAGGAGACTATCGGCAGGAGAAAAGCCACTATTCATGTTGAAAATAGGCATCAGTTTGAATAAGGAGGATTCTACTAATCTGCGGGCAGCAGATGGGAAGACAATTCGCACCGCTGACCAGTCCATCTGATGGCCAGTGTCCCTATGATGGCAGAAGAGGATGTTGGATAGAAAGACTCTTAGTGAGACCAGCGCCTTTCTCGCCAAAGTACTGCTTATTGCAGGAGGCACAAGGAACAACATAGGTGCCCATCTTCGAGGAAGAGGGAGGACTAGTGCGGATTAGGTTGCAAGGGAGAGTGTCCACCTGGCGAAAGATAAGCCTGCAATTGAAAGGATGAAGAAGGCCACAGAGAAAGTGGATCTCCTCAGGGTAGGCTGAGGACAGGTAGTTGAGGAGGCTGTTTAAGAGAGGGGAAATGGTAGAAGGTACACCGTGACCTGGATAAAGTGATGTCGAGATCATATCAAGGGTAACCTAGTCTGGTGAATGAACGACGAAGGAAATCGATCTGTCCACCCAGGTAATGGGGGTCACAGATGCGGAGGGTGCGGAGAAACAGCAAGTTGGCAACACCTTTCTTCACATGGTATGGTATTAGAAGAAGTGTATGTACATACCACTATGCATTGGTTAACTGTATATAGGGAAGAAGTGGTCAGCCTAGCAGTAAACAAAGGTGTCCAAGAAAGGGAGCTTGTTGTCATCCTTCCATTCCACCTTGAAATGGATGGCAGGAGTTCAGCTGCATCAGGAAATCCGGGAACAGGGTTATGAAGTCAGAGAGCAAAGACGTCGACATATCTCAGTCAACCGTAGGATGAAGGGAGATGGAAAGGAGAAGTTCAGACCTTCTCCTTTAACCAGGACTGGAAAGAGAGGAGATCCCATGTCAACACTAAATGTCTGAGAGCAGAAGCGACCCTTAAAGGAAAAGGAATTAGACTCCACACACTGACATATAAACTAGAGGAAGACATCGGCGGGCAAGAGACGAGGATCCTCGGTGGGGAGCTTCCTTTGGAAGAAAGGGAGGATGTCATCAAGAGGACCTTAGTGACCAAGGAGTTGACATCCAAACTCGTCATAGCCGCCGGCAAGGCACCACGGATGAAGTTCTGAGAGTGGCGAAGGTGACAGGCAAGAAGGTGCAAAGAAGACCAGACCACAAGAAGGTGTGGCGCAGATCCCCTGGAGATGATGGGGCGCAGATACACACCTGATTTATGGGTTTTGGAAAATGAGGGTTAATGACCTTAAATCTCTGGTAGAGATTCGGCTCCGGAAAACAAGCTGCTAACTCTTTCAGGCGACGGTGGAATGTAGCAGCAATGTGTTCTTGGGGGTTGTTCGTCAGGGGAACATAGCTGGAGACGACATCCAACAGGTCCCAGGACTTCTGCAGGTAGGAGGCACGGTCGAGGACCACCACCGAGTTATCCTTATTGGAAGGCAAAATGGTGACATCCTCCGTGCACAGGCTCTGAAGGGCCTCATGGTAATACCTTTGAATAGAAGGATTGGGATGAAGGAGGGACTCGAGAGCCGGGATGAAAGCACCACGAAGGAGAGGGACATCAAGCAAGGAGTCCCTATGAGTTGAGATGAAACAATCAAAGGATGAAAAGATGTCAATGGGGGTAAGGGGTGAGGACGGAGAGCAAAGGAAAGACCGGAGCCAAGGAATTGTTGCTGGCGAGGGGTCAAGGACAGGGAGAATAGTATCTTCTGTCCTTC